CATCGATTCATCGGTCGAGAAATGGATAATTCTCGCGTCTATCCGTTCGCTGCACAGAGAACATATATATATAGAAACAGAAGCTTGCATATAAAAAAATATGTAACTCAACTTCGTTTATTAAAAAAGCTCAAATGAAACAGCTATGTTAAAAATTCCCCTTAATTTCGTTTATTCGAAAGAATTCGAGTGGAACAGTTGCGTGTCCTACATTTTCTGTTTCATTCATTCGAAAAAGTTCCAACAAACTGTACATAGAAACGCGACATTTCATCGAGTTTCATTTATCCAAAAACTTCGAGTGCGACGCGAAGAACGTTCATCGACCGCGGAATCCGCCGCGAAGAAGACACGCCCGTTATTTGTCTTCCGTTCGCCGCGCGGAACGCGAGGTATCGATCAACCACGACCGCCGCGAAGTTCGAGGATTTCGGGCCCGAAAACTCGGGGATTTACGAATGCGTTCGTTCGACTGTCCGAATTCCTCCGCTCCCGGCTGAATCTTGACAAACGAGTCGCCGAGAAGTTGGAGACCCTTTCGGCGACCCGGATTCACGGATGACATTCGCGCGTTCCTCGCGAACGCGAGTCGATACGGGACGAGACGCGGAGCGTTCGAATATCCCGGAGGGAATTTAGATCTCAGACACGGAGGCTCTTAATTCCGCCGCGACTTGATCTTCATTAACGCGATTTACTTGAAAGAACGGGACCTTAAGGGCAGCTTCAATCTTCGTTCTGGCTCTGACAGTTTCGTTCTCCGTTACTTTAATTGAATACCTTAGCTCTATTCACTCTGAAACGTACAATATATACCGGAGATACTATTTCTGAAGTAATCGTAATTCCTTCAAACCAAATTTAAACGGAGGAAATGTATAATTTGTTAATTGGCCAGTGAAATATTCGGAAATTGCAGGATCGTGCTTTCGTCCTTTCAAATATTGGGAGGAATGTAATCCTGGACAACAAAAGATATTTAATCTCAACGTTATTCAGGAAAAGCTCCGCGCTGTCGCTGTGTATTTTCAATTGATTTCATTCATTTATCTCCATTGTTATTCAACTGTACCCAGTCCATTATTGAATTGGAAATTCTCAAAGAAGCGATGTTCCATTTGATAAATCTCGTTCGTTCCGACTTTTTCGTGTAAATTCACCTCGCTGCATATTGCGCCGTATCGGAAGCGGCTCCCATAAAACGCTGGCGCACGTGCGGGTCTTGGCGAGCATTCGCGAACGCTTCGGCGATCGTTGCGCGGGCATTGTTCGCAGTTTCCCCGCGATTCACCGCCGGAAAATTAGACGGGATCCGTAGTAACGGGCGCGACAACGTTTGTTCGATACGCTCGTAACGATGACGCGGACCGGCGGAATGGAATCCTCTCGGCTGCGAGCGGGATCGTAAAATGCAAATCGACCGGGAATCGGTCCGGTAAACCGGCCGAAGGAGCAGCATTGACAAATTTATGGAACAGAACACCTTGCAGAACACCTTGCGATTCCACAAATTCGCAACTCTGTCGCTACTCTCGTTAACAGCGATTTCCTCGTCCGAAGGGAAGGGTAACGTGTCACGCGAAGCAATCCCGCGATAAAAGTTGAAAACTTGTTGCCTTTGACACCGACGACGATAAGCAACCTGGCTTTTATTTACTGGGATCTTTCGGCCGATCTGTAAACGATCGCGAACACGTTATTACGATTTTGCAACTCCTGCCCGCGTTTACGAAGATCGACATCGAGATTTCGCTCGCTGATCTTTGCAGCAGGAAGTTTGCAGAATTCTGTTTCCTTCTTTATTAATGTTCCCTTGAATTCACGGCTGACCCGTGGCAATCGTTCACGCTCGTTAGCAGCCCTTCGAGAACGAGATTCTGCTCCGTCATAGATATACAATGAAACGTAGAATATTGTTCGCTGGAATACGCAACGATTGCACGAAAGAATGTCTCCGACTCGTGCCAGCCTCGTCGACGTCGAATTCAACGGAATAACGGGAATTCCGTTCGCAGAACAAGCCGACGATCAATCGCGGAGACTTAACGAGCGGCGCGAAAGGGAAAGTGCTCGGCCGACAAATAAATTAAGAGAACAACCCGCGGTAAAGAGCGGAAACCGTGAATTACGCGTCGCAAAGAGGGAGCAGGAAACGCAGGTGGCAGAGAAGCGGCACAAAGATCCGCGAGCTCGCGCGGTGTTCGTCGATGGTGCTTTGCCCGGAGATCTCCCCGCCCTCGGCGGCGGGGCGGGCGCACGGGAAAGCGAGGAAAAGCTGAAAAGCGGCGCGCACGTCGAGAGGAGACCGACCGGCAAAGGTAGAAAGTCGGCTCGTCGAGATTCTTCCCCTTTCTGTTCTTTTCTTCTCTTTTCCCCCCTTCTTCTCCACCCTTTTTTTACGCTCGTTCGGCCAGCGACGAAAGTACTTGCGCGGAATTGAGATAATCGGAAATCGACGACAACAGACTCTT